GTTGAATATTATAACCAGTATTTACTCAAGGGTGACTTTTCTTGAAGGAGGCACACCACCATTAACTGGTGCCAAGTAGGAGATAGATAAAAGGACAGATGTGGGTTCACACACAGGTTCCTGTGATCTTTACGTATATTCTTGTCTGTTATTAGAATTTGAGAAAATTAAAAGTATTCTGTATATTTTTAGTGTATACAAATGGCTATTGAGGAAGTAAAATCAGAAGTCAGCTTTAAACTGATCATCAGGGTTAAAGAATTTAGAATAAAAACTGTGTCCTGATTATGTGTTGATTACTTATAAATCAAGCATGATACTCATTTACTATTCAAGGAGATTTTATATGTCAGCAAATATTGTAACCTTTAGGTCAGACATAAATCTTGTTGTGAATAGTTATTTAAATAATTGTTTCTTCCACAAAGATAATAAATTTCCAGTTAAATAATAAAAATTTATCATCTTCTTTCTTCCTTCCTAGAAAGAATTAGCAGATCTAAAAATTTTTTTGTATTTGATAATTACATCAGTGAAAGTCCATTTTGTCAATTTTTTTATTAGGTGCCGTATTATTGATTTTCACAAGTCAACTGGTCCTTCAGGTACACACCCTCGTTTATTTGAATGGATCCTGAACTATTATTCTTCAGAGAGGGAAGGGAATTCCAAGGTAGTATGGACATCTAAACCTCCTATCTATCTCCAGCATCAAGGTTAGTATGACTCATAAAACAATGTTCTTTGGAAGACAATACATTGTCTATGACTTTTGGACAATTTAAGTTTCCGATAATAGGGAGGAGGGGGAATATTGTGACAACACTCTCGTTTTCAGAGCTACTGGGTCATTACAGTACAGTTTTGGGTAACGAAGGATCATATTCCTGGCATTTTAAGGGTCTTTTGAACTCATCATTTCTTGGGTTTTGTTTCTTTCCTTTCTTTTTTCTTTTTGTTGTTATTGTTGTTGTTGTTTGGTATCATTGATAGAAACCAAGGCCTGGTGCATGCTAAGCAAGTACTCTACCACTGAGCCATATCCTCAGCTCCTCATTTTCTTTGCTTCACTCTTCTTTGATTGTTCATCACTTAAGTCACTTAAGTGAAGCATTTTCTGGCCCCACCTTATTTAAAACTGCAACTCCTTTTCTCAACTACCCTCTACTGGTATTTCCTTCACTTCTTTACCTTGTTTACAGTGTCTATTATTATGTAAGGCATTTTTGTCAGTTTTGTTTGCTGTTATGTTCTTTGCTGCTGAAGTAGTGCCTGGCATAGAGATACTTGATCAAGTTTGTTAAATGGATGATTTGAATTGACAGAATAAAGAGACATAATCATTGATTAGGAATACAAACCATAGGAGATTAAGCCCTCCCCATTGATATCTAGTATATATAAATTTACTTCTGTTTCTCTTTAGGAACTATATTTTTGTTCTGGGAAAGTCAATTTCAAGCCATTTTATTTAAGATAATTTGATTAAAGAAGAGGGAAAGAAAAGGGAATCAAAAGACTAGGAAAGGGAAAGGAAAATTGGTGGAGTGGAAGCAGAATTTTTTTGTAATGAAGCCTTTAGAAAACTAAAATTGAACAAAAAAAAAACCCCTAAAGAACAAGCAAGTTGAACTAATTACTTTGTGCATTAGGAGAGGTCTCAGGTATAGACACGTTAATGACTGACCGTATTTATATTCTAAACACACACATATATGTCCATACAATATTCATATATACAGAGAACAGGAATATATATACATTAATATCTGTGTGTGTATAGCAGAAGGTGGATGTGACATATATTGGTTACTTTATATTTTAATAGGTCATAGTCGGACAATTGTTGGAATTGAAGAGAGAAAAAACAGAACATTATGTTTATTGATATTTGATCCTGGATGTCCTTCTCGAGAAATGCAGAAACTATTACAGCAAGACATAGAGGCTAGCAGTCTCAAGCAACTTCGGAAATTTGTGGGAAATTTAAAGCATAAGCAGTACCAGATAGTGGCAGTAGAGGGTACTCTTTCTTCAGAGGAGAAAGTTGTAAGTATGATGCTTGAATGGGCAAAACTTTAAAATTTCTAGTTAAAATTAGTATTATCCCTTTGTATCTCCTAACATCTCATTCTGTTTCATTAAGTAGACAAAGCATTTGTTTCTATATCACTGAGTTTCTGGAATGGATATCTTTTAAACTTTGTTGTTGTTGTAGATAAACATACAGTATCCTTATTTATTTTTATGTGGTGCTGAGGATTGAACCCAGTGCCCCACACATGCAAGGCATGTGCTCCACCAACTGCGCTATAGCCCCAGTCCCTCTTTTAAACGTAAAAGCAACTTTCAATTGCTTTATACAGCTTCATAAAAATATTTAATTTCATAATATTTAGCTTAACTTTTAATATATGAGTTATGAACATAACAATAAATATAGTAAAAATATATCTTAATCTGTAGACCTAACTCATAGTGGTTTTATAATTCTTCTTTAATAAAATATGACTTGCAGGATTCCTGAGGCTCTGCTTTATGCACTTGAGCTTGTTGTTGATACACAGTTCTAGAATTTAGACGTGCCGCTTGCTTTTATACCTCATATTTAAGTGATGTGTGATGTGTTACAGAAAAAATTTCTAGAAATGGAAAAACCTGCATGCATTATGAACTGAAGCTAAATTATAGCACATCAAATTTAGAAAATGCGTAGGCCCCAAAATGTTAAGAAAGGTGCTCCTATTTGAGTACTTTACGTTGTTTTACTTCACTTTAAAGGCAAAGGAGACAGAGAACTATAGAAGAACATAACTCCCTTGTATTTCCTATTTTACTATATTTGTATATGCATATATATATATATATGCATATACGTATATGTATGTGTGTGTGTATATATATATATATATATATATGTATATATATATATATATACACACATATATGTTTATTTTTACTGGGGGTTGAACTCATGGGGCTCAACCACCAAGCTACAACCCTAACCCTTTGTATTTTTTATTTTGAGACAAGGTCTCACTAAGTTGCCTGGGGTATCATTGAATTTGTGCTCCTTCTTCCTCAGTCTCCCAAGTAGCTGGAATTACAGACCTATACTAGTTTTCATCTACCCCTGGTAGAGGGAGATGGTTTTCTTAAAGTTTCTTCGTTCTATAACTCCCTATTGCTCTCCTGTTTTGTTGTTCTCTTCCCCTCTCCCCATCCTGTTTTTTCCGCTGTGAGCCAGTACTTTTACCTTTAACTCATTATGCCTTAAATAATTACATTTTCTTTTTATTTCATTCTCTTTTGTCTTTATTTTGAATGTTCTTTAATTCCTTTATGGCTTGGCTTTTTTAAAAACTGTTGATTATTAATTTTATAAGTTCGAGGCTGGAATTTTCCTTTAGGAATTTTCATTACTTGAAAAAGATTCAGATTTTATTTTTATCTTAGAATAATACTTAATATATAATATAATTAGTTAATTTCTAGCTTACAATTAATACATTTTAAAATTCCCTTTCAAGGCCAGGAGACAAGCTTCTCAAGTCTTCACAGCAGAGAAGATTCCTTGAAGAATTGAGTATTTTAATGATTGTGGAATTATACTTCGTTTTCCTAATTCAGATATTGAACTCCTTAATAAAATGTAAGAATCTGAATTCTCTAAGCACTCAACATATAATTTAATTTCTAAAATGCCTTTATTAAATTATACCTGTAGTACTTTCTTATTTAGTAATTATTTCAATAAAATGTCTCGTTTGCATTATGAGTTTTGTTTTTCTTATGTATGTTTCAGAAATCTACTTTGTATTATCGTTATAAGCTAATATGTATTAGGTCTTTACTTCTGTTAGGTGCTCTTAGTATTTGAATCTGTTAATTAGTTAGTCTTCAGAATAGTTCTTTGAGACAGTACTATTATCATGCCCACAAGGAAGCTGAAGCTCAGAGAGGTTAGTAGTTTGCCCAAGAAAATTATCGTGATCCAAGATATAAACACAGGTTGTCTCCAAGTCCTGTGTTTAATGTGTCCTATAGGAAAGGGACTTCCAAATTCTGGTTGAATGTCTTGTATGATTCCAAGCAAGAATGCTGCATTGGTCAACATCAGCAGAAGGGAATTATCAAGAGATTATCACAAGTTCTCAGAATCCATGGTTAACTAGAGAACTGGGCTGGAATCAGTCAATTGAAGGCTAACATGGTGAAATTTATAGCAGGAACAATCTGGTGAGGAGCCGCAGTATATTGTCTGATTCTAGACAGGACTGATTTGATTGACAGGAGACTATCTAACAGGACAGAGGTCCTCAGAACGAAATGAAGGTGGATGAAGAAATGGAGATTAAGCAGCAACAACAACAATGCAAATGTGTACCATACAATGAACAGAAATCTACTGAATAAAGATTTATGAATCTTAGGTATTCCAGCAAAGACTGAAATTTGTGCTCTAACAATGAAATAGTATTGACTAATTAATTAGAGAATTCTGGAGCCACCCTTTCTAATGTTCTGTCCTGCAGACTAGTAACCAGTTTTCTATTTTACATCCTCTTGCAATTGTCCTGGTTCATGCCACCATTTTTTCTAACCAAGGTAATCTGATAACCTCCTAGTTTCCCTGTATGCATTTTTTATTATTTGTTTTCCAAACTGAAGCTAAAGTGTTCTAAAATACAAATGAGTTATATGACTTTCTAGTTTAATCCTCCCCATTGTTCATGGGTAAAAATCCATCCTTTCTACCCTCTGGCCTCAGCTTACCTCTCCAGGTTCCTCTTTCATCCCTTCAAGGCAAGTTCACTCAGACTCAAGACTATTGCCAAAATCCAGCTCTTTCTGCCTAGAACCCTTCGCCCACACTGCTCTACCTGGTGGCTCTTAAAGGTACTTCTTAATCTGCTCAAATCTAGAGTAAGTGCACTTTCTAGGTACTCGAAGCAGTGTAACTCAGTGTAGATGAGTGATCCACAAACTTCCAGTCTATGACAAGTTAAAATGTTTAATCCTTAGAAATTAAGGATTGCTGTGATTTTTAAAAATTTTACAAACATCAGCATTAATAGTGGAATTAATTTTTTAATTGGTCCTTTACCACAATTTGAGAGACACTATTCTATGGGACCCTGTAATGGTCACATTATACTACTTGCTAAATTACAGTCTATTCTAACTTTATATTTACCTTTTCATATTTCCGCTTCAGTGAAAGCCATGATTTCAGGAGTAGCACCTAGTTCTTATTCATAATTCAGGGTGACTTATACAGCTGGACTTAAAAAATCCCCCCTTTTTAATTGATTCATAATATTTTAGAAATATATGGGTAGAGAATGTAAGTTTGAAATGTCTGGATCTGCCAGATTACCATATTTTCAAATCATTTTTTCCAAATTTAAATCAATTTCTATAGGATGAACAAGGACTGCAATTGAGGAAATTGAGAAGTTCAAAAGGGACTTGCTGAGCTTGGTAGGTAGCACATACCTACATTCCTAGAGACTTGGGAGACTGATGCAGGAGGATCACAAGTTTGAGGTTGGCTTTGACAACTTAGACTCCATTTCAAAAGAAAAAAAAAAAAGGCTTGGGTTTGGTAATGTAGCTCAGTGGTGAAGTGTCTGAGTTCAATCACCAGTAGCAAAAAACGGGGGTGGGGTGGAGAGGGGCAATTGCATGAGCACTCCAGTAGTCTTTTTTGTTTGTTCTTTTCGGTTATACATTGTATGACAGCATTATACAGTATTTTGACATATTTATATGAACATGAAGCATATCTTATTCTAATTAGGATCCCAGTCTTGTGGATATATGCATTATTGAGATTGACTGTGGTGTATTCATATATGTACGTAGGAAAGTTATGTCAAATTTATTTCACTGTCTTTCCTATTCCTACCAGTCCTTCCCTTCATTCTCCTTTATGTAATCCACTGAACTTTTATTCTCCACACCCTTTGTTGTGTGTTAGCATTCACATATCAGAGAGAATATTTGATCTTTGGATTTGGGGGATTGGCTCATTAATTTCCAGAATATACAAAGAACTCAAAATGTTCCAATAGTCTTTGAGCAAGTCATGAAATTATGAACATTCCCCCTACAAAAAGAAAATGAACATAAATGGTATTTGCACTCAATATCACAGGCTTGACCACCAGCAATTACAAATGTTTAAGAATACATGCCCTGAGTCAGTTTTTACAAAGTTTAGAAATACATGCTCAAATTTACTGATTACTAGTGCTTTTGTTCTCCTTACTCCTTGACACTCAAAAGTATAGAAATTTCCAAGGAACCTGGTGGATTAGACTTTCAATGTTTATCGTATTAGAAATTAAATCAGACCTTTTAAAAACAAGAATACATAAGCATATATTCTATTAGCCAGGGTCGTCAGAAGAGTAATATGATCACATTATTTAGCTTCTGGAAGATCCATTGAGTATCTTTTTATATACCCATTAATAGTTCTACACATGAAATGTCAAGTTTCCTATTTCTAAAGAATAACATGCACACGGATAATGGCCAATTTATATATATATGTTTGTATATATGTGCATACATGTATATAATCAGTCTCACATAAGGGGTTTTTGTCTATATTCATGAAACATAGGTGTCAGCTAATTTTATTCTTACTAGTCTTCATCTTCATCTTCCTCAGTTTCTTCATCTTCCTCAGTTTCTTCATTTTCCTCAGCTGCAAATACAGTTGCTTCTTGTGCAGCCCTGAAAGCCTTCTCCTCTTCCACACCAGGGTCATCCATTTCTGTAATTTCCGGTCCACTAGGGTATTCTTGATAGACTGGTGGTGGAACTGGGGGTGTGTAATTGTCCACACTATACTTATGACCCCACCCTATGTAGAAATTCTCAAACTTTCTGTAAGTAAAAAAATATATAAATAAGTCTGTATATTCTGTTCAGTAAGAAAATGACCATTCTATAGCAATGAAGTGCTATTATTGTATCGTGGTCCCATAATTTTAAAAAACAATATATTTTAAATGCTAGAAGTAAAATATCCTTCAGTAATTCTACTACAAGGAATTGTTTTGATCCAACTGCTTAAGCTGGTTAAGGAAACCCTGGGGCCAGACCCTGTCAAAATGTACACTATACCCAGACCCCAAGTAAAGGCCTTATTTAATTATTCAGAAAAACACTTAATACACTGCATAAAGTTAAAGAAGTTCAAAACATTGCTAACCCAGCAAACTCATGGCTTGTGCAAGGAGTCAGACTTGTCATTAAAAACTCATGTGTCACGTTTTTAGGTTTCACCATAGGCAATTGCAAAAGCTTCACCTGGTTGCCCTCACTGGACAACTGCCCTTCCCATAGCAGACAGGGACTCAACCAATGTGTTGCCTTGTCTAAGGGAGTTGTGGCCAAGGACTCTGACCCCTCTGGCTGGTCTTACTCTTCACATGTTCACATTCCTAGCCCAGGTAGCTTGTTTCTAGGATTCGAGCTGAGTCCTGAAGGCATCCTTTTCCATCCCCTCCTATTTCCGCTCCCCCCACCGCTCCGTCTTCCATCCATATTGCAGAAGCCTTTTCTTCAGAGACTCCCTTGTCAATGAGATGATGCCAAAACCCCACATCTATGGCACCTTCCTATCTGACTCTCCACTGGCGGCCATCACATGGGAGAAAATGGAACAGGGAGAAGACAAAAATGACTCTTACTCATGCTAGCACAGTAATGATGAAAGGCTTAGTCAGCTCTGATGTTGGCTTGCTGCCACAAGAGCTACTCTGACACCTGGCAGCTCAGTGCTCTCCTGCTCTGTTGAGCTTTAAACACTAGGTTATTAGGAAAGAAGTGGAAGTGTGAGACAAATGGAGGTGTATATGTTGGTGAGGGATTAAAGGATTTTTAGTATCCTCTATATCTTAATTTCCTTGAAAGTGACAGCCTACATAAAACATATTTAAAATTATCTTTTACTGAGATGTTCAACAAAAATGATCTGAGTCTTAAACTAATTTAAACACTGCTTACAATTATCTTCATTAATCTAAGTGAATGTATGAGTAAATTACCCCAGTAATCATAGATGAAAAACCATATTTTAATTCAATTAATTAGATAACTAAGATAAAAGGGCAAAAGCCTGAATTGTTCTAATATCTTTTACTGTTTAATAGAGATGCTATTTGAATAAATCTTAGGCCACACGTACCTGATACGTCAAAGATGAGTTAAAGCAATAGTAGATTAATATGCTAGTGAGAACATAATTTCCAGAGTTAAATAGTCACAACAATGAGTTTGTAAAGTGGTCAGATACTTACTTGCCATTGGAAAAGGCATATGCTCCAGGCCAGAGGTTGGATCGGAGGACTGCGATAGCATACTGTGGGATGAGATTTGAGGACAGCCGTGTTGTCCAAGCAGGCATATTCTGAATCTCTGGAACCCAAGGAGAGATTTGAAAACTTAACTCCTAAACAGGCAAGAAGATACTATATAACCAAAGTCATTTTTATAAATCTTATACACATAGATACAGGCACATTTGATAGAGAAGGAAAAGTTAAGACAGCAGCTTAACAAAATCAGGAGAGAATTTATGAATGTTTTGGAATAATAAAATTTCAAATAAATGTACATATATGCACACATTCATTTTTGAAACACAGGCTTTATTAACAGAGAAGGGATTTTGGTGGTAGAGGGAGTACTATTCATAACCAAATGAAAGGTCAAATTGTTACTGTGGAAGAGACTAAGGACTGCAAGCACAAGCAAAGCAGATGAGAAAAACAAGAACATGGGTCAAGAGTGATTGTAAAGACAGCAGCACCAGTGTTCAAGTTTGCAGAAAGCAAGACAAGAATGAAGCATAAGACCCTGTGAACATTTCTAGCAAGAGCTACGGCCCACTGTGTTTCCTCCCTACATCATTCTTTCAGCTTCTGTCAGAGCACATTGGCATGGACAACGGCATTCTTCTCTCCTGCCATTCTGAAACACATGAAGGGGAAGGAGAGGAAACTGTGGCTCCAGTTCACTTTTAGAGATTTGAACTCTTATATATTTGCCACAGAATGCACATGTTATGCAGTTTATGTGACTCTGGGTTAACAGTCATCTAAATTACCTAAATCTTCAGAGATTGGTGTCAAAAGAGGGGGCCCCACTTCCTGTTCTATGTAGTCAGGATCTTCGCCTTTTTCTTCTTTTTCCTCATCTTCTTCCTCTTCTTCTTCCTCATCTTTTTGCACAGGATTGAACCAATTACAGCGACCCTGAAAATGAATTTTGCATTATTTAATAGTCTCATGAGGACCTTAACATTTCAGAATATTTTTTCCTATTAAAGCAATTATCAGAATGAGTTTTCATTGTGTGGGACATCAGTCGATTATCCATTCATTCATTCTATAGTTATTTATCAAAGGCTATTTTCATTTAGGTCATTTCAAGAATAAAATGTATTATTTATTCCAGTATTTGTCCACTTCTTGAAGTTGCAGAACTTGAAGGTTTATGTATGCTTTAAAACTATCAGTTAAAAGGTAATAATGTTTTTGTTGGTTTGTAATATGTGATTTATATAAATGAAGTAAAGCTAGTATGGTATGATTATTAAACAACAAAATTTTAAGTGAGGTAATGAGGTAGGTAGGCAGTTATAATTTCTCAATTTATCTAGAGCTCTCTAAGTGTATCTCTTATCTAGTTAAAAGTATAATGAAGATTTTTATACCCACAAACAAGGAAGTATAGCAGAGTAATTAAGAAGGGGGACTCTGGGTCTATTCTGCACAGCTTCACATCTATCTGACTGTAATGTATTAGCTATATTACTTTGTCATGTTTCCTAAACCCTCTGCTTCAATTTCCTCATCTATAAAATAAAGATAATAATATTCAATCTTTCATAGAGTTTTTATGAAGATTAAATTATATATGTATATGAGATTATATATAGCCCCTTAATTATATATATTGCTTTTGAGGGGGTATTGGGGATTGAATACAGGGTCACTCAACCACTGAGCCACATCCCCAGCCCTATTTTGTATTTTATTTAGAGACAGGGTCTCACTAAGTTGCTTAGCCCCTTGCTGTTGCTTAGGCTGGCTTTGAACTCATGATCCTCCTGCCTCAGCCTCCCCAGCTTCTGGGATGCTGGGATCACAGGTGTGTTCCACCGCACTTGACAGATATATTTCTCTTAGTAGCACCTGGTACAATAGGTTCTATGTAATAGTGTCCTATATCACTGTTTGCTCCCCCCCCCATTTTTGTTATAATCCTATAGTGTTCTTGGGATAAAGATTCAAGTTTTTTGGAGATAGAGTAAAAGAACTGTTTTTAAAATGAATGCACATAGCTATATTGAATTTGTACATCACCTGGCAAATACCCCTACCTGTGGAAGAATATGCTGTACATGATGAACCCAATTGGAGAGAGATTCCACTAGATCCATCACTTGAATGCCTTCAAAATCAGGGTTTTCCTCAAAGCTATCTCTCCCACCCTCCACTTCTTCCTCCTCCTCTCCTTCCTCTTCACCAAACTGGAAGAATCCTAGAGGGCTGACGTGAGTTCCTGCTGAAATTCTGGCAATTTGTGCTCGCAAGTAATTGCTCTCATTTCCTGGGAAAGGTGGGTAGCTTAGGATGGGAGCATCTAATCTCCCAGTGAAAAATTTCTTGATTTTTCTTGCAATCACAATTTGTGCAGGTACAACTGATGGTAACTTCACCCAAGGTCTTCCTGGTTCATTGCATACAAAATAGACATATTTGTTGGCGCCTGTTCTATTTTCTTCTTTGGGTATAGTTGGTGGGGGCTTGTAAAAGGCCTTTGGTAATTCATCTTCCTCCTCTTCATCAGCTTCAATTGCTCCATTGTCCCTTTCTTCAGCTATGTCTTCCTCCTCCACCTCCTCTTCATCTTCCCCCTCACGAAATTCCACTTCAGCTACAATATAATTTCTTTCTATACCCAGGATCTTACCCCAGAAACGGCATCTTTGGATTGGGTGGGTTTCAGTAAGTCGTTTGAGGGCAAGAAAAATGCGGTAAGTCTCATCAGTGCCCAGACCAACTCCGGCTTGTTCAAAATAAAAAGCTGACTCCATTACATTTGGAAGAGAGCTTTCTGCCTGGGAAACAAATGCTGTGGTTAAAATTTTATCCATAAGGGTATGTTCACTTCTCTTTCCTCCTTATACATCTTGATATTAGTGCTACTTTATGTTTCCACCACTTCTTCAACATTTCTTCAAATACTTAGCTCAAACTATGATAATTCTGAATTTTAATTCTTTTCTCCTTACTTGTAAGTGTAACCTCTTACATTCATTGTGTCTTATACTCACTAATATATTACAGTGGCCCTGTTTTGTGTGTGCTTTTAGGCAGAAAAAATTAATAACTACTGTCAATGATAAAAATTCAACACCCTTGTTTTGTAAAAAATATTTAAGCAACTCTTACTACCCTAAAATAAGATATATATAACTTATGTGCCCATGTGTTTAGAAAGAACATAGTTATATATATATATATATATATATATACACACACACACACACACACACACACACACACACACATATATATATGCTTATATTGCCATAAAAATACTTGTTAAATACATGGTTTTACATGTGTGTGTGTTAAATAAAAATCAATACATTAACCTATTTAGGGTAACAATCAGGATAAATAAAAAGAAAACATCATAAGTGCTCAGACATTGCCTATACTTAAAGACATAATATAGTAAGATGCTTGCCCCTACTTATGACACATACTTTTGGACTTAAATAATGAAGATAACATAAATAAATAATTCTATTATAGAAATACAGAAAAATGAACAAGCAGAATCTCACATATACTATAGTAAAACATTTATGAAAATTTAGGAAAGTTAGAAAGAGCATTTTCTGAGATCAATATAACTTGTAAGACAAAATGTTGACTCATAAGATAGAGAAATCGAGAGCACTTGCTGTTCTTACAAATGATCTACTTTCGTTTGTATTATTACTCTATGTCAAAATATAATTTCTTCTTAGCCTATTGCCATGGTTCCCATTTTCTTAATGGATCCCTACATGTTATTATTCTCAAAATCTCCTTTTAGTCATTTTGTCACTCATTGCCTTTTGCTTGCAGGAGTTCGCCCATCTAACTCAAGTGATATGTGGCTGTTTGAAATGTGCATAATGTTTTAGTCAGCTTCTCATTGATGTGATCAAAATACTGGACAAGAACAGATTAGAGGAGGAAAAGTTTATTTGGGCTTATGGTTTTATAGGGAGTTTATGTATGGTTGACTCCAAAGCTCTGGGCTCCAGGTGAAGCTGAAAGGTGTGACAGGAAAGCTGCTCAGGACATGACAGCCAGGAAACAGAGAACTCCTCTTGCCAGGGACAAAACATAACCCCAAAGACACGGTCCCAGTGATCTACTCACACTCAACCTGCATACAGTTACCACCCCGTACAGTAGTTCTTTCAAATTATTAATACATCAAGCAGATTAATCCACTGATTAGGCTATAGCTATATAATCTAATCATATAACCCCTGAACATTTCTGCATTGTCTCATACATGACCTTTTGCGAGACACGGAATATCCAAACCATAACAAATACTCTTTCCTGACTTTACTGTTGTCCCCTTTTCCCTCAGAATTTTATTTCTTTTGGTCTTCACTTTGGTAATCTTCTACTTATCCTTCATGTTACAAATGAAATATCACCTGTGCTACAAAGTCTTGCCTAATTTCCAACACCAGAGTTAATTGTTCCATTCTGTCTGACCCTGTAGCTTGTTGTCAAAACAATATAATAATAACTGCTTTAATACATTTCTAGTATATGCCAAACTTTATACCTATTTTATACCTTTTGACTACCTCTACTGCTGAGTGATGATCCCCGACACTTAGAAGTTTAGTTACTTGCTCGAAGTCACACAACTACGAAGTGAATATATAGCATTGCTACACAGATGGAACTCCAAAGCCCAAGTTTTTCCATCATATTAAACTATCTACTGCACTCATCCAGTTTATTGTTGTCTCCTTCAGTAAACTTTAAGCAACTCAAAATCAGAAGTCTTTTTCACATGTATATCTCTGGATCTGGAAGGCAATAGACAGTCACAGAGTTTGTAAGTGAATCAGTGAATGAACAAATCAAAGTTGATAACTAAGAAGAGGAATCATGATGTGGTCCCAAACAGGAATAAAACCATGAGCACTGTAACATTTATGTGGGACAGAGTTGCTCAGATTTCATTGCTTCAGAGACTTTCCTCCGGGAGTCTTTCCACTCTGAGATGGAGCTTTTCATCTGCACCTGATGATTTAACTCTTCTAGGTTCTAAAACTAATCCTACCTCAGGGTCTCAGGCTTATTTGTGTTTCTCCCCAACCCCTATAATGAGATTATCCATCTCATTATAATTTTAAAGGACCACTGTCATATATGTAGCCTGTTATTTTCTGAAATGTCATTACCTGGTGCATAACTCTATCTGAAATTGATTATTATTCAACAAATATTTAATAAGAAACAGCAACTCGGAGAACAAAAAATAGGAGGAAACTATTTTCTACTCTGCTTTCTAGAAACGTATCCCACAAACATTTAGCAAAATGTGAGGATTGAAAAGCACTAAAACATGATATGAAACTGTAAAAAATGACTCAGTTAGGAAGAACGTGGTGAGAAGTGGGGTTGATTGGAGAAAGCTTGAAGAGATTTAAGAAAAAATAATGTGTGAATACTATACAATAGATAATTAGTAAAAAAAAAAAAAAAAAAACAACTTGAAACCATACCGCACTCAATCCAAATAAGTATCAAAAGTTATAATAGTAGAAAGGATAGTAGAATGAATAAGACATTGTTACCCTGCATATATATATATATATATATATATATATATATATATATATATATCACCAGAGAAATTATACTCCATATGTGAATGATGTATCAAAGGGCATTCTATTGTCATGTATAACTAATTAGAACAAGTTTTTAAAAAATTATAATAGTGACTCACTATTTCATCTTCTAATTCCTGATCAGCTCCTTCTAAATTTCCCTGGAGAAAAAGAGTCTTCTGCATCTCAGCTATTTCATACATTGGAAGCAGCTCATTCTCATTTTGAAGTGTATCTAATTTTTTACTAAAATGAGCCATTTTCACATCTTGGCTAATATTTTCAATGATGTCAACAGCATTTTCGGGACGCTCATCTAACATCTTGGTCAGCACATTAGAAAGATGATCATATCTGCCCAAAGAGAGAAGATTCCAAATTACACACATTCACACATACATACACACACACACACACACACATCAAGAGCATTTAAACAAGCATTTGATGCAGTCTCAGTAGCATTTTAGGAAATTTCAACAACTTGAAGTCTTCAAAGATTTTTCAGTGAAGATAATTTATACCATGAAAGAACCTATCTACAACTTTCTTAGAAAATGCTCCTGATACAATTTGGATGCTTAAGTTATTAAAGAAAAAACATTGTAACAAGATACATATTCTATATCAGGTACATTTTTTACATTTCATTTCTGAAACTGAAATCTCTTGGTTACATACTTTGAAGTGATAAACATTTTTCACTGATTTACCTTAAATTATTTTCCATGCCCCCTTCCTCTGCCCTCACCAAATTCAATTTTTAAATCCTATTGATTCTACCTTGTTTTTAAAGCCAATTATCTACTTCAGTGTTTTCAGACCTACAAGAAATGCATTTCGTATTGCAATCTCCATTCAGACACAACTAAAGGACAACTGTCATCAAGTATTACCCCTTAATTCAAATTACCCCTTAATTCAAAAGTGACATATCTAAAATCTTGTTGTATCAAAAACCCTGCTTTTTATTTCATAACCAAATTAATGAAGCTATCCCTACCCTCTCAGGAATTTTTGCATTTTATTCATAACTGTTAGGGTATGATTTTCCAATAGCAGATTTGCAGTGTGGATTTATTTTTAGGAAGACAAAAACTGATCAAAACTGCTTTCATATTGGAAAGAAACTTTCCTGTTCAATGTGGAAAGGTGCATAAATTGCCTCTCTGCTGGATGTATCTCTCAAATTTTGTTTCTAATTACTTGACCCTCTGTCCAGTGAGATAAATCTAACAGAAATAACTTTCATACTTGGTTAAGTCCCAGCTGAGAACCTTTGTTTGTCCCCAGTACATCATTCCTCTTAAAAAATAATATAAAATCCCTTTTATGTTCAAGGACACACCACTTTAAGACATTCCCCAAACAATACTGAGCCCTTTCTGAGAACACTGACATGCTGCTATGAAATACTGTACATTATATATTTCCTATCTAGAAACTGCATTAGGGTTTTCCATGGCCAAGATTGGAGTTTTATTTATTTCCTCCCTTGCTAGAAAGAAACACAATAAATCGATAAGTGTATAGTTCCTATTAATTGATATATTATTTTTGAGCTTTGTTTGTTAATGTATTTATCTTAGACCTTAAGAATGTCACAAGAAAACATGTAGATGCTATGCACAACCAATATGAAAGGCCATTCACAAATATTATGTTTGGAGAATATGTTATTCTGTGCCCAAATGTTGCTGTTCTTGTAAGTGAACAAGATTGTTTTGACTAGGAGTTTCTTTAAAACTTCATCAAGCTTGCCTAATTTCCATTTAGTGTGAAACTCATGGAGAACTCTCTAGACTAAAATGATGGTTGTTACTGGGCAATAGCAGGGTTTTTAACTAGAGTGTTTGATTTGCTCCAGTAGGGGCTAGGGAAATCAGAATCCAAGTCAAATTTTTCATTTTATTTTTCAATATAATGTTTTAAGTTTTAATATAATGTCCATAAGTGTTTTATTCATATTTCCCAAGTCAGGTATTACAAAAAAATTTTAAGTACATATCTGATGTACTTTTATTAGATTTTTTTTTTTTTTTGGTACCAGGGATTGAACCCAAAGGTGCTTAGCCACTGAGCCTTATGCCTGAACCCAGGGGCACTAATCACTGAGCCTTTTTCATGTTTTATTTTGAGACAGGGTTTTCCTAAGTTGCTGAGGCTGGCTTTGAACTTGTAGTCCTCCTGACTCAGCCTCCCAAGTCACTGGGATTACAAGTGAGCACCACCATGCCCAGCTTTTATTAAATCTAAATACATAATAAATATATATTTTTTGAACTGAGAATTGAACTAGGGGAGTATTTACCACTGAGCTACATCCCCAGTCTTTTTATTTTTATTTATTTTTTTGAGACAGAGTCTCACTAAATTGTTTAGGGTATTGCTAAATTGCTGAAGCTGCCTTCAAACTTGTGATCCTCCTGCCTCAGCTTCCTGAGTTTCTGAGATTATAGGCATGTGTCAGCATTTTTTCAATTAAACAGTATTAATAATTTGTTTTGTTAGAATGATTGAAAAAAGAGGAAATAATTTTTCCTCTAGGCTTTTTGTTCAATAGCAAAAAAAATTATTAGATTCTGTATTTAATAACAGATTTTCATTGCTACAAAAACAGTTTTTATGATTGCCAAATTGGATCTGCATATGAAAGATGGGGATTAAAGGCATCTTTACTAAGTATTTTTTTTTTTTTGTACCAGGGAATGAACTCAGGGGCACTTAACCACTGACCCACATCTCTAGTGTCCTATTTTGTATTTTATTTAGAGACAAGGCTCACTAAGTTGCTTAGCACCTCACTTTTGCTGAGGCTAGCTTTCAACTCAAGATCCTCCTGTCTCAGCCTCCTGAGTAGCTGGGATAACAGGCGTGTGCCACTGCGCCCAGCACTAAGCAGTTTTTAACTGCAGGCTCTAAAGAGGATAATAGTGAATGCTTTGGAAAGTATTCATTTATTAACTCAGAAACAGCATTTGAAAATAAAATAAATTTAAATATTAAGTAAATCAGCTAGAAAATAATTCATTAAGAGAATTTTCTTACTTTACTTTTGTATTCAATTTTAAATGTTTAGTAAACTCCCAAGTATTTTTATGAAGCTCTTTTGTGATCGTAAAACATTTATCAACTCATGCTTGTTATTTAACCTGGCACATTATGACAAATTTATCCTAGGTATTCAAGTATAATCTTCTACTAAATTGCAAAATTACATTTTCTATAAGTAAGTTGTATCTAAAATGATAGATTATAAATAATATTTTAAATTGCTCAATCTCAAGTTTAGTGGAAGATTTCTCACAGCAAATACTTTTTTTCATTAGACCTTAAAATCATATTTTACATTTTCTAAAGCTTAGTAACAGCTGCAAATATTTGTCATATTGTATGTTCAGTAAGCACTCAGAATTTACAGGCAAAACAGGAGGCATCTCAACAGATTATGATGAGAACTGAAATTGATTCAGAGGGCGTGGACTGTAGTCCTGAGCTGCCATTCATTCACACATCCTCATTCAATCATCAGTTGACAGCACTGTGCTAGGCACTAAGAACACTGTGGTGTACAAAACTCACATGATCCCTTCACTCTTGGGGTTTCCATTCCAGTAGAAGAGGAAGACATTAAGATGTAAGCAACGTGAGGCTGGGGTTGTGGCTCCGTGGTAGAGCGCTTGCCTAGCATGTGAGAGGCACTGGGTTCAAGTCTCAGCACCACATTAAAAAAAAAAAACAACTAAATAAATAAAATAAAGTCACTGTGTCCATCTACAACTAAAAAAATATTAAAAAAATATATAAATGTGTATGAAATTATAATGGGCATTAAGTCCAATGAAGGAAAAGAATAGATTATTATAACAAAGTTGTATGGAAGCTGAATTCTGAAGGGTCAGAGTCTGCCAGAAGACTAAGGGAAGGAAACTTCTGTGCAGAGAGAACAACATGAAACCCACCAGGCTGTGTGACTGGAGCACAGTGATGGAGAGGTAGATATGAGAGATGTGAGCCAGTGGAAACAAGAAAATTCTGTTCTCTCACAGTCATTTCCTCCACTTAAAAACAGATAAGTTCATTTGATGTTTTCTAAACTCCTTTCTAGCCATAAAATTCAGCTATTATTCTGTAACCCTGGAGGCAAGATCCTCTACAGAGCTTTGCTGTCATGAATTCTGAAATTCAAACTACAGTGGGATTCCCAGAACTTATTTGGCCATCACATTTTAAGAGAAAAGTGGATAAATAGCATGTGCCCTAAAGGCCTCCTATGGTGACCAATTTTCCTAGTTGGCCCAGGATTGAGCAGTTTCTTAGGATGAAGAACTTTCAGTGTTCAAATCAGGACAGTCCCAGGAAAACTGTGTTGGGAAGGAACTAAAAGCCAAGCCATTCAAGGACTAGAATGCTTAGATTGCAGACATGTTCTCTCTGTATCTCTGCAGACACTTATTTATTACAATAATCCTGGAAAGATGCTTAGACTTCACTATATTGCTTTTTTGTTTGTTTGTTTCTGACAAAGCCCATGACCAACAATCCTACATTTTATTTCTGTGTGCCTAGGTTCTTCAAAGAAATTTGAAGAATCCTGACAGGTGACCTGTTCTGAGTCCTGTGATACAAAGCTATGTCGCTAACTCCCTTTTAGTATAAAATCTTCTCAAGTATATTTCCATTCACTCACAGAAACACACTCTCACACAGAGATACTCACACCCCCTTTTGCTTTGACAAACTTTTTTTTTCTTCTTGGAAACTTACAGATTGAGGCCCGACTTGCTACTGGTCCTCAGTAGGTAAGCCTTAGCATTCTGAATGGCAATCTCAAGCATGCTGGGGGCCACTTCTGAGGCCCCAGGCTCCAGCTGCAGAAGATCACAATTACTGTTTGAATCTTCTTCCTGAAAAATGTCAAATCTCAGCTCTTTTTGTTTAGAGGTATCATAGCTTGGGTCCTTTGGCCCATACAGATCAGATTTGGATTGCTGAGACTGTGGAAAGGTGTTTTCCTCCAATTGTCTTGCGCGATGAAAAGTTGATTCTCTCTTGTCAGATGGTTGTTCCAAAGGATCAGAAACAAGTGTCCCAGAATTAGGAATTATACTAGTGGTCCTGTCTGACTGCAGTGGGGTCTCAAGATCCTGCTCCCCCAGAGTCAAGGGAGGAGTGGAAGAAGGCTGCTGAGGAGGGGAATGGGGAGGTAATGCCCCTAGTTCTGTGAGATCTCCCAGAACCATGCTGGCTCTGGACCGGGGGCTCCAAGGAGGGCTTTTGCTGGGTTGGGGTCCAGTTTCTGGTGCCTGCTCTGCCTCCAAAGGCTCAGATGACTGAGGGTCAGGGACTTGGGGAGAAGCTGCTGTCTTTTCTTCCCATGGCCCCTCTACTTCCTTCAATTCGTGGTTTTCTTTTTCTTGCTTCAGGGAAGTCCAGTCTTCCATGGAAGGAGACAAGAGAAAAAAAGGTCTGGATGAAATGGGTGTGAAGATATGGAAGACGGCAATGCAAGGCTGGTGTTTGCTGAGGTCTCTTAGGTGATCTGTGGGTCACAGCTGCTCTGTAAGTTGCAGCGTCCTGTCTCCATAGCAACCCCTGGCAGGGTTCCTTAAGAAAAACAATACGAGTCAGTTGCCAGGATTCTAGGGAGGAGCCCAAGAAACATGAAAATCCTAGGTTTGTGATTTGATAGAGTCCCTGCCCCTCTATCTAGCTCAGCCAATCCGAAATGGACTCTGTTTGGAAACCCGAGAACTACAGCTTCTGTGTCTTGATCATTTAATGAAAGGATTGAAGGTGCCGTGCAGGAAGGAGGGTTTTAAGGTCTGATAGTTTGATAGCTGTGAGGAGTTGACAGGCTTTAGCGAAGGGAACTTGCATTTAGTCTTTGAGTAGGGATGCACGAGAGAGACCGAGAACGGAAGAAAGGTAGGAAATTAGGGGGGCAGAGAAGGAGGGAGGAAGGAAAGGAAAGGTAGGATGATCTTTGGGAATCCTGTAGGTGCAAGTGACAATGAGACCCTGCGGTGTAGACGGAGGGATTCCAAGACGCAGACTGCATGGATGTCTCGTTTGAGACTCACATTTATAACGCATAGAAGATGACTCATTGTGCCAACCAAGCAACTCTGGAGACTTTTGGAGAATAAACAAAGAAGGCTTGAGTTTTGCTCTTTTGTTTTATTAGGAATCTGCCTGTGAGTTCACAGAATGTTATCTTCAAGGAGAAGGCAGTGCAGAAAATCACCCTATGTAATACAGTTCATGGATTACCTATTGCCTAATAATTGAAATTAAAATTAACCCTAAAATCTGTCAACATAATAAATCTTTACTTGATAATATAAATACCAACTCATAATTTTGCAAATGGTTTTAGATCATGATTATGACTATTTGTATATAGTCTTCAACATGAAGAAGGTGTACAAGATTGGACCATATCTTGTACTATCCTGTCTTGACTATTAACCATACATTAATTTAATAGTTTTAATTCTACATTGCTCTTTTTTATAAACCAAACAGTACTTGGTGTTTAATGTTTTACAATGACATGACTTCTATTTCACAATGATGATAAATTCTTCCTTCATGTAAGAACATAATATTTACTCCTCCACACCCAGTTTAGAGGGGGAATCAAAAGTCCTTCAATAATTTGATATATCTGTGGATCTTTTCCCCTGTGGATCTGCACTGCCTTCAAAATACACAATAAAGCACACTTAAAAAATGTTCCATATAATTCCTGCTGATTCAGGGACTCCTTAAATTTAGATACTCTAGATTTAGAACATTTAGAATTTTAAAAATGAAACCAAAGGTTAAGATAAATTAGAACTATAAACCAGTTTCTATGTAATTGGTGCAAGGTTTGGAGTAAGTCTTTCACTCCTGCATGGATCTTTTTTCTTCTCCCTTAGAGCTGGCAAAATATGATGAAGGTTTTTTTCTTTGGAAAACAAGACAGAGCAGGATGGTAAAGTCAGGAGAAAGGAAACATGAAGGAACACTTAGATCTTGCTTAAAGAGCTAATGAAAGGAACAATCTAAGAAAATGTCCATTATTATTCTTGCTTCAGCCCCAAATTCTATCTAGACTTTGACTCTAAATAATCCCAAAGTTGTTTCTCATCATTCCTAGAATAAAGTTCAAAGTTCTTAGCCTGTTTACCTTCCCAGCTTCATCTTGAGCAATTCTCACAGATTCTGGACTCGTAAAATGAATGGAGAACCATTCCCTCCCATTCTCTGAAGTAGATTGTGTAGTGGCACCATTTCTTTAAATGTTTAATAAAATTTATAGGGAAACTCTGCGTTTGGAGATTTGTATTGCAGACGGATTCCTTCCTTCCTTCCTTCCTTCCTTCCTTCCTTCCTTCCTTCGTCTTCTTCTTCTTTTTTTTTTTTTTTTTTTTTTTGTACCAGGGATTGAACTCAGAAGCACTCAACCACTGAGCCACATCCCCAGCCCTTTTTTTTTTTTTGTATTTTATTTAGAAACAAGGTCTCACTGATTTTCTTAGTGCCTCACTTTGGCTGAGGCTGGCTTTGAACTCGTAATCTGCCTGCCTCAGCCTCCCCACCCACTGCAATTACAGGTGTGGACCACCACGCCCAGTGTATTTCAGATGGTTTTAAATTGCAAATTAAATTTCTTTTATAGTATATTTATAGGACTGTTCAAATATCACTTTTATCTTGGATGTATATTGGTAGTTTAAATTTTAAAAGACATCCCCAGCTCTTTTTATTTTATTTTATTTTTTTGACAGGTTCTTGCTAAGTTGATGAGGCTAGGCTTGACCTTCTGATCCTTCTGTTTCAGCCTCCAGAGCAGCTGAGATTATGGACATGCACTACCACGCAGGTTATTTTGTGTTCTTTTTAGTGCTCTTTTCTTATTTTTTTAAACTTTGTTGAGTCTCTAGTACTATTTCCTTTTTCATTCATGATAATGACAATTTCTCTACTTTTTTCTTGGACTTATTGGAAGTTTATCAACTTTACTGCATATTTTATAAACTAGCCTTATGTTTTATTATTTTCTATTATTTTTTGTTGTTTTCTTTTCTTTTTTTATTAGCTGCTCATGACAATACAATTGATTCCTGTTCTTAGTTGTTTCTTTTTTTCTTATTACTTTGGGTTTATTAGGCTCTCCTTTTGATTTATCTTGAGATGGAAGATTGGATCATTGATTGAGATATCATTTTTTTGTTGTTGTTGTTTTCTATTAGCAACATTGTTTTCTCTATATTTCCATGAACCACTCCATTAGCTGATTTACACAGATTTTGATATATCCTATTTCATGTTGGTTCAGTTCAATATATATCTTTGAATTTCTTTTGATATTTTCTCTTTGATCCATAAATTATTTATGAATCTGCTATATTAGATCTTAAATTTCCCCCAACGGCCCATGTATTGGTTCCCAGGGAGGTGTTGTTGGTAGATGGTGAAATCTTTAAGAGGTAGGACTTAGTGGCAGGTCTTTATGCCACTGGGTTAGTGCCCTCAAGAGGGATTGTGGTACATGACTCCCTTCCTCTTTCTTGCATTTCGTGGTCATGAGGTGAATGGTTTTGCTCTACTATGCACTCTTGACATGATATGCTGACTCACCATAAACCCAAAAGCAACAGGCCCAACTGATAATGGACCAAAGTCTCCTTTACAGATTGATTACCTCAGTTATTTATTATAGTGACAGAATACTAACAAGAAGTGGAACTAGCTTTGCCATTATTGTACACCTGTTGATATGCAAAGAACTTTTGGAATTTGCTTAAGGGAGAAGTTTGGAAATGTTTGGAGAACCAGGATAGAAACAGTTTAAAATACATATGCAGAACTTAATAGATAATTATGGTGAGGGCTCAGAAGACAAGAATGTGGATAGTGAAGGCTATGTTGATGAGGTTTCAGATGGAAATGAGGATTGCATTGAAAATTTGGACTAAAAGGCACTCTTGTTATATGATGGTTTAAAAAAAAATCTGGAAACATTTTGTCCATGTCTTTGTGAGAGACTTTGTGAGAGGTTGAGCTTAAAGATGATGGATTGGTTTATCTGGGAGAGGAACTTTCAAGGCAGCACAGCATTCAGGCTACAGCATGGGTATTGTAGGCTGATTTTAGCTCATGAGAATGGGGAGGAAAAAAAGGAACAAAGCAAAAAAAAAATTGAAAAATTTGTAACTTGGCCAGAAAAGAAAGAGCACACAGAAAGTTTGGACCAAGAAGGGTATAGATGTTAGCACCACCAAAAAGAAGGCAAATGCTTTGCTCTTGGATGCTTCAAGAATCTCATAAATTGGCAGGACTACAGCCATCATGGGCTCTGAGAAGTGAAAATGCAAAATTATTTGGAAAACATTCAAGAGAAGAATCATATGAGAAAAGATTCCCAGGGAACACTGTTTTTCCTTGACTGCCAAGGGAATCATTTTCCCATGTTAACCTGGCATGTTACTCAGAGGCTGCCACAGCTATGGTTGAAGCAAGCCCAGAGACAGCTTCATCCCAGAGGAAGACTTTGGCATTATCCAAATGATGCTGGGTTGGCAAGCACACTGAATGCAAGATGTATAGGATCATGGTGGCTTCCACTGAGATATCAGAGGAAGTCCTGGATGTCATAAAGTGTGCAGCAGGATTGGAATCCTTGCTAGCAGCTCCCAAAAAGGCAATGCACGAAGCTGTAGAAATTAAGCTGGAAATGCAGTAGAAACTCAAGGAAGGTAACGATATCAGCAACCCGCAATATTCATTAGAGAGAGCTATAGGAAGCAGGCAGAACTGGCCTGAGAGAAACAGTAAGTACTACAAACAGTAAGGCTATAGGGAGGGGCAGGGCTCTACAAGCCCATGGGGGCCTGTATTCTACCACAAGTTGCCCCAGATGTTGGACATGGAAATTTAATAGTTAGTGTTTCTTCTTCTGGGTTATGGTCTTGCTTTGGGTTGATTCCTTTTCATTTCCCTTTTCTCCCTTTTGGAATAAAATGTTTACTCTCATTATGCCCTATCAATTTATCTTAGAAATATATAGGGTTTTTCTTTTTTCTTTTTTAAGTTATATATATATATTTTCAGGTAAAATTTGCCTCGAGTCTTGAAAGAGACATTGGATTTAGATTTTCTTTTTTCATATATATATATATATATATATATATATATATATATATATATTATTTTTTATTGTTGGTTGTTCAAAACATTACATAGTTCTTGATATATCATATTTCACACTTTGATTCAAGTGGGTTATGAACTCCCATTTTTACCCCGTATACAGATTGCAGAATCATATCAGTTACACATCCATTGATTTACATGTTGCCATACTAGTGTCTGTTGTATTCTGCTGCCTTTCCTATCCTCTACTATCCCCCTCCCCTCCCCTCCCCTCCCCTCTTCTCTCTCTACCCCCTCTACTGTCATTCATTTCTCCCCCTTGTATTATTTTTCCCTTTCCCCTCACTTCCTCTTGTATGTAATTTTGTATAACCCTGAGGGTCTCCTTCCATTTCCATGCAATTTCCCTTCTCTCTCCTTTTCCCTCCC